TCCATCCATCCATCCATCCATCCATCCATCCATCCATCCATCCATCCTGATAGGTGGTGCAGTGGATAGAGCACCAGACCTGGAATTTAGGAAGATTCCTCTTCCCTAGTTCAAATCTGGCCTCAGACACTTCCTAGCCGCGACTTCTTGTCATTTACTCCTGTATGCCTCAGTTTCCTTATCTGGAGAAGGAAATGGCAAAACACTCAAGTATTTTTGCCAAGGAAACCTCAAATGGGACCACGAAGGGGCAGGGTTGGAAAAAACGACTTAACAATGTGTGTGTGTGTGTGTGTGTATGTGTGTGTGTGTATGCGTGTGTGTGTGTGTGTGTGTGTGTATGCATGTGTATTTACTAAAGCAGATTTAGTTAGATGTACAAAGTGGATAGAGGGATAGAAGGCTGGATAGAGTGGACAGAAAGGGATAGATCAGATAAAAGTAGCTAAGGTGGGAATTTGTTTCGCTACTTTGTATCTATTTGTAATTGTTTCTTTTTCTTTCTTGCTTGCTTTCTCAATGGGTGGAGAAGGGGAGGGGGCGGGGAGAATCCAGAACCGAAAGTAAACAAATTCAGGTGTCGGTGTTTGGAGACGCTGCCCCTCGCCCAGGATGGAGCACGCTCCGGGAGGTGGGGACTTGCGCACGTCCAGGGGGCTCCGAGCCGGAACGCGGCGTGTTCGCCCCTCCGTCGGGCTGCGGGGCCCCAAGGCAGATGGGTGGGGTGGCCGGGGTGCCACCCCAGGCCCAGATGCCCCTTCGGAGCCCTCCGCCAGCTTGTCCGACGGGAGGAAGCTTTAGGAGCCGGGAGGGGCTGTGGAACCCAGAATCATGGTAAGTTCGAGACGATCTAATCCTTTCTTATTTTATCGATGGGGAAACTGAGGCTCAGACCACACAAGTGGCCGGCAGATGGACCCAGGTCTGACTTCCAAGGCCGGGGGTCATCTATTCTGGTCACTCACGAGGGTATCGGGAAGGTGCAGGATGGGCTTTCCGCACCCGCGAGGGTAGGCGGGGTGATGTTCACCAGAGCTTGCTTTGCAGAGTGACAAGGAAAAGCCAGCGATCCAAACGGTCCATTAGTCAATTGACAAACACTTATTAAGTGGGGGAGGGGAGAAGATAATAATCCCCCGCTCTCTAGGAGTTTCCAATCTACGGAGGAGACAGTGGGTATAGCTGAAACGACCCAACCTATGTAAAAAAAAAAAAAAATTAAAAGGTCCGGGGGGGGCCCCTGGGGAGGGGGGGGGGGGGGACGACGATGGGGTCATCAAGGAAGGCTCCGTGTAGGAGGTGGCTCGACCTCAGCCTTGCACTGCAGGCAGGGAGGGCAGCCCGTGCAAAGAGGGCCTGCTAGACTGGCCCTGAGGCCGGGTCTTCACGACCCCCAATCATTCAGAGAGCTGCCACACTCGAGGCATCCGTTCCCCGGCCCCCACTCCCTCGCCACCCCGACGCTCTCCGTAGCGCCCGGTCCCTTTAAGACCTTCCCCTCCTTCTCCGCCCCACCCCCAGCCCTGCAGGGGGGGGGTGGAGATGGGGGGTGACGTATAGTCCACGCGACGCGGATGCGAGCGACGGCGGTCACCAGGCCCCGCCCTTGGGGCGCCGAGGGGCCGTGCCCGGAGTCGAGAGGCGGTTAGGGTCGTGGTCATGGCCCTGGCGCCCGCCAATCAGCCGGAGGTGATCCGCGCCGCGCAGAAGGATGAGTATTACCGGGGCAGTCTGCGAGGCGCAGCCGGAGGCGCTGTGCACAGCCTGGCTGGTGAGCCTGGGCCAAGGCGTGCGCAGGCGCGGATGAGCGTGGGGGGGTGGGGTGAGAGGGAGTGGGACTGCGCAGGTTCCACCTGGAGAAGGCGGGGCCGGCGAGCGAAGCGCTACCAGGAGCCCAGGAGTGCGCAGGCGTAAGGGGGAAAGGCAAGACAAGAGTGGGCGGGGCGCGGCGGACCCACGTGTGTGGGTACAGCTTCTTTGCTGCAGCTGTTGTGATGACGTCAGTCCCCCTGCTTTCGGAGAGTCCCGCCCCAGTGGCCCGCCTGGTTCTTCCTCTACATACCTGCCAAAGTGCTATTCCGCCCCTCGTTAGCTCCCTACAGCTGTAAGGATAAAGGACCGGACTCCTCTTTCTGGCACCCGAGGCCCCTTACTTGCAAACAATAAACATTTATTAAGCGTCTGCTGTGTGCTAGCACTGTGACACAAAAGGAGCCGAGACCCAGCCTTCAGGGAGCTTACAATAAAAAAAAAAGCTAACATTTATATAGCCCTTACTGTGTGCCAGGCACTGTGCTAAGTGCTGGGGATACCAAAAGA